GCGTGTGCCTGTAATCCCAGCTACTTGGGAGGCTGAGGCATGAGAATCACCTGAACCCAGGAGGCAGAGGTTGCAGTGAGCCAAGATCACACCACTGCACTCCAGCCTGGGTGACAGAGTGACTCCATCTCAAAAAAAAAAAGAAAGAAAGGAAGAAAGAAAAGCTGAAATTCTTACTCTGTCCTACAAATTCCTACACAAACAACACCCAACACCATTACCAGTTCTGTTTTTACCTTGTAACAGGTGCTCCCTGTTCACATGGCTACAGCCACTGTGGCCTCTTTGCTATTCTTCAAATAAATCAGGCATACGCCTAAGCCCCCGGACCTTTGCACCAACTGTGCCTTGAGCCTAGGACACTTTTTCCCCAGCTCCACTTGGTTAAATTCTCCTATGGCTACAAGTCTTTGCTCAAATGCAAGCTTCTATTAAAACTGCTATTCCTCATTCTCTTTTCCTGTGTTATTATTCTGTGTAACATTTGTTATCTCCTCAAATATCCTGTAATGTATTTATTGTTTTCTGTGTATCCTCTGACTCCCTTGAGTGGAAATTAAGATCTCTGGAGGCAGGAATTTGCATGTTTTGTTTCCTGCTGTGAAATCAGAGCAAGCAGCTGGCACAAAGTAGGAATCTGATAAACATTTGCTGAATGAATTAATTCAGCAGCTATTTACCCAATGTCTTCCATGTATCAGGTGCATACTGGAGGTATCAAGATGGTTACAGCAAAATCCTTCCTCTTAAAGTGTGCCTGAGTCGGTAGGATGAAGGCAAAGACAACCCTAAGGCAGGGTAATCATGATATACAACAGTGCTAAGGACCACAGTCCCTGGCGTTATTGTTCTACCACATGGGGGAGTGGAATGAAAGCAAGTGATGTTTGCCCAGAGCAAGCGATGCTGCCGCTGGATCTTGACAAGCTAGTGGAATTTTACCAGGCAGTAGAGCAGGGTGACAGAACTGCCCCTCATGTCTCAGTGGATTTTCACTCTGCATACTGATTCAGAGAGCACGCTTGGTCCCAGGGAAAAAATGGATAAGAATTTCTTTTTGTGATAACTGTGTTGTCCAGACAGCACTTCTTAACAGCAGAAGGATGGCCTGATGGCATCCCAGGGCATTCAAGTACCAAAGTGATCCAGTCTGCTCACCTACTGGTGAAATCTAAAGCAGTTTTCCTTCAGAGCAACCTGGGCAGGTGACCTCACAGCGCTACAGCTACTGCACTGAGCACCATCCACCGGAATCACACAACTCCAGTTTCCCCTGGACTGTCAGGAAGCCCTGATTTTAAAAATGGCTTTTGGTTTGTGATTTCTTAGAATAATCTCGTTTAAGTCAAAGAATTGTTTGCAGTGGAATTCAGCTGCTTTTTCTGAGTTCATTTGCCTCTGGGGAATAAAAGGATCACCAGACATTTGTAAACCACTTCTGTAGCATAACAAAAAGAGAAAGCAGGCATTGGGCAGGTGCTGCTTTCTGGCTTGGGGGCCTCTAAGACCATAGGATTGTTCTAAATTCCATTATTACCTGCCCAGGTAGGTCTCACAGTTCTGGTGGTAGTGAGAGTGTACTGGTTAGCTATTTATGTGTGACAAATTACCTCTATACTTAGCAGCCTAAAACAACAACAGTTAATCATATTCCACAATTCTTTGAATTGTCTAGATTGATCCTCTGACAGTTTTGTTTGGGCCCACTCATGGGACTGCATCCAGCTGGAGAGCCAGCAAGGCTGCAAGGTCCATGATGGCCTTCCTCACCTTTCTGCCAGTTGGTGCTTTTAGCTAGGACACCCTGATGCTCCTTCATGTGGTAGTCTTCCAACAGAACAGCTTTCTTACAGTGAGGTCATAGCAGGCTCAAAGGGGATGACAGAGGAAGCTGTAAGGCCCCTTTGAGGACTAGACGTGGAGCACAGATAGGTTTGCTTCTTCTACATTCCATTGGGCAAACTGAGTCACAAACCCTGCCAAACTCAAAAGGTCAGAATAGATTCAACCTTCTGAGGGGAGGGGCTGGCTGCAAAACTCTGTGGCCACATTCAACGTACCACAATTTTCCATTTGACTATAGTTATTAATAGTTCTTCCAGATACAGAATAAATTTACCCCTCCCAAGATCTTAAAAAATCTCACCAGTTATAGCATAAGCCTCAGAATCCTGGAGCTTGTGATCTTCATCTGGCTTGGATACAGAAAAAGCCTCTTGGGCACAGCAGATCCTCTTGATCCAGAAACGTGAGAATTTAAAGCATGAAGGGACAGGGACTAGATGATGCCATAGTCACTCCTATTCAAAAAAGAAGAGCCAGAGGCACTAGCAGTCACTGGCACATAGTAATTCTGAAATCTAGCCAGGCACAGGCATGTGTCATCAGAGCTCTCTACCCAAGTCAGGGAATATTCTTTTACTTGGGCCTGGCTCTGCTCTCTGGAAATAGTTTCCTAATCATCTGTTTTCCTTGGCCCTTAAATTCACCTTCTAGGTTCTTGGCTATGCTCTTTGAATTTCTTTTTCCTTCCATAAAAGAGGGTTCATGTTTGTAGCTTTCTTAGCCTGCTTTCTAACTGTAAACTTTGTGTTTTAAACTGTGTCTCTTTTCTTTAGTCTGAGCTGCTACAACTCCTTTAAAAATGTTTTGGGTTTTCTGTATATCACATTATACTCTGTTAAACAAAAAGCGTATTCACAACTATGTTTAAAATAGATTCCTCGCTACTTGGATGGGAAATTTCAGGGTGCTGTAGGACAAAGCCCTTAGGATTTTTGTCTAGGTGAGAAGGTCTATTAGACAACATCTTAATGTTTCAGAGGGTCCTATACTTACATTCTTGATTTGATTGTGATTCTGAAGCCATTTTCATTTTTCCCTTGAGAATCTTTTGCCTGTTGAAAAGACTAGAAGTATTACAAAGAAAACCAGCTTTATTTAGAAACTCAGTATGTATCAGATCCTCTGTACTTTCTTTAAATTCTGCTTACAAATAGAAGTGACTTTAGTACATCTCTCTTTCTCTTCTCATTCCTTATCATACTCAGCTAGAAAAAGCCAGTAACTGTTGTTAGCATCCTGCCTCATCATCTCCTTAGGGATACTCACACATTCATTAGTACATTTCCTGTCTTTTGAATTACTTCAGGCAAAAGTTTTGCCAATTGTTCCTTAGTTGTAAATTGGTTTGCCCTTTTCCCAGCCTCTACTAGCAGTGTTCTCTATACTAATAGCTGCCTTAATTCTCTATCAGCCTCTGCCCATTGCCCAGTCCCATACCCAATGTCATATTAATAGAGATTTTTAAAAAAATTTTTGAATAGCTGCACCCACTTCTAGGTACCGATTTCTGTATCAGTTAACTATGCAATATAAGCAAACCATTTCAGAACTTGATGGCTTAATAAAACAGTGACTCACTATTTTAACATTCTATAGAGTGATTCTTCTGCTGGTCTCACCTGGGATTGCTCATGCAGCTGCATTCAGCTGGAAGGGTGACTGGGCTCAGCTATGTTGGCTGGATCTTCCTCTCCATGTTGTCTTTCATTCCAGTTTCTTCACATCCTGGAGTCTTCCTGGCATGATGGTCTCAGGGGAGCATTCCCAGAGGGCAAGCCCAAATTCATAAGCACAAACGAAACCTCTGCTTACACCCAGTTAACTTGGCCAGAATAAGACTCACGGACAAGTCCAGAATCAGGGTGGGAGGGAACTACACAGAGATATGAATACTGAGAGGTGTGTTTCATTGGGCTATGACTGTTTGCACAGAAGAATAAAAGAGATCACCAACCTAATCCAGGTCTCCTGTCCTCTCCTCTCCCTGCTGACCTCTCTGTAGTCCTAACCTGCAGTTTCTGTGTGTGCTTCTGACGGTGGGTGCTAGAAAGTATACCCAGGCAGCACCTAGGCCAACATGCACATCCTTCGCCCATTGCCCTTAGTGAAATTTTTGGGAAGTCAGGCTCTGCTTCCAGGTCTAATTCTGATCTTGAATATCCAGATCAGAATATGCCCTTTTCTTCTCTATATAATATTCTTTGCACCACAAAAAGAAACTCCCTTTGGAGCTTGCCTCAGACATGTAAGAGCTCTGCATCGAACAGGACAAAATTTCTCAATGTTTATGCTCAGATGATATCTACAAGAGGGAAAGTCTCCTGTTTGTCACAGCCATCATTAAAATGGTCTCTAATAACTCAGTCTCCTGGTATTCACACCCTTGTGTCATCCTCTTCTCTGCATGTGGGTGGGACTTGCTGATACTTCTAACCAATAGAATATTGCAGGTGTGGTGTGATGTCACTTCTGATATTGGGTTATAAAGAAGCTGTGGCTTTAGTCTGGGTGTAACTCTCTCTTGGGTTGCTTACTCTGAGAATGCAGCCGTCATGCTGTGATGCAGTCCTGTGGAAAGGCCCACGTCTGTGAGCTTGGAAGCTGATCTTCTGAGGCCTGCCCACAGCCATGGAAGAGTGGGTGAGCTCAAAAGCTGGCCTTCCCCAAGCTAAGCTTTGAGATGACTGCAGTCCTGGCTGACACTTTGAGTGCAGTCTTGTGAGAGACTCTGATCCAGCACCACACAGCCAAGATGCTTCTTCATTCCTGACCCTCAGGAACAGTGAAGTTATACATTGGTTGTTTCTAGCTTCTGAGTTTTGGGGTATGTATTTGTTACACAGCAATAGATAACTAAAACGTATTTTGGGTCACAGACTGATAAGGTTTGGATCCATGTCCCCACTCAAATCTCATGTCTAGGTGTAGTCCCCAGTGTTAGAGGTGGGGGTAATTAGATCACGGGGCAGTTTCTAGTGATTTAACACCATCCCCCTTGGAGCAGTCATCACGATGGTGAATTCTCATGGGATCTGGTTGTTTAAAAGTGTATAATACCTCCCCATCTCTCTTTCTCCTGCTCTAGCCATGTAAGATGTGCCTGCTTCCCCTTGGCCACCTGCAATGATTGTAACTTTCCTGAGGCCTCCCAAGCCATGCTTGCTTCCTGTACAGCCTGCAGAACTGTGAGCCAATTAAGCCTCTTTTCTTTATAAATTACACAGTTTTAGGTATTTACAGCAATTCAAGAACCGACTAATACACAGCCTTTGCAAAAGTGTGCATAGTCCAGGAGTACCCCACCCCAAAACAGCCAGTATAAGACCAATAGGAGCAAGACAGAGGGGTGAGGACAAAGAGAAGTGTGAGGAATCTGGAGGATTTCTTTGGCCCCTCGACTGTTGCCTCTTGCTTTCCTTCCCTGGAGATTGTGGTCTTTCAGAACAATCAGCCAAGCAGAAAACAGTCTTCTCTGGGTTAAGATGGCAGCAACAAGTAATTTAATACTTTACCTTGATTGGATTAGTAGCAAAGGCATTGACCAGTCTCTCTAGCTGATACAAGGTCAGTTTATCCTGTCTAAATTAAATCTCTTCGGCATCCTTGGTTTGAACAGCCTACTCATATTTTCTGCAGATGCTCTATACATTTTTGTTGTTGTTTTTTAGGGATGGAGAAGCAAAAATGCATTCTCTTTTCTTAGGTGGGAGGACTGATTGCCTCTGCCTCGCCAGCGTGATTATTGCAGCACATACATAGGTTCAGAGCTGCCGAGAAAAGTAATGGATCTGCCCGAATTAGCGCCTGACTTGGGTGAGCACCGAAGCAGAAATTCCCCCCCTTTTTAACACTTTGGCTCAGTGAAGCAGGCCAAACCCTATAATCATCATTGATTATCTCATTCGGCATGACTCCTGGGAAATCTTGGTTGAAAGCAAATTGAATCGGATATTTGCTGCCACTCTTGTAAAAGGGGACTCTCTTAGATTAATTTCAGGGATGATGGCAGCCCAGAAAATGAGGGCCTGGAGTAGTGTGGCCAAGGCGGCCGTCGGGCATTGTGAGAAGATGAAGCTCTTGTGAACTGATGTGTATAAAGGGTGGCTTTAGAAAAAAGCGCAATCTTTTAGTGTGGAGGATTAGTCCTAGAGGAGAGGCTCCTTCACAGATGAGCTCGCCTGGTCTGCACCTGCGAAAGGCTGGTTGTTAGGGAAGATTCATCAAATAAAGCCCAGGCCCCATTGTTCCTGTGGCTATCTCAGGCTCCCTAGGGAGAAAGGGGCTGCACAAGTTCTCTTGGGATAGAACTTTAGGCACAAAGGGAAAAGAAGCCCTTTTGTGGATTCCAAGGAATCCCTTACCCATAGGGGTGGAAGATGAATAGGCAAAACTTTAAAAGGTCAAGGGCTTATTGAATAAGAGGAAGATTTGGGACTGTCAAGCCCTGCTGGAGGCCAATGGTATCACTGAGAGAGAGGCAGCACTCACACCTGGCACTTCCGCCACGTCCCTCCCTCATGAACATCATCACGGCAAGAAGCAGGGCCTTTCTGACTCGGTAGAGGAGATCACAAAAAAACAGTGGTCATGAGACTGCATAACACACACAGAGCCAACTAGGGAGAGCCGATGATGTGAAATCAGCATTCACGCACCACCCTGGCTGGCAAACCCAGCACAGAGGCATCACCAAGTCCAGTTAGCAGGGCTGTCAGCCGTGAGCGTGTGGAGAGACCTGCTTTAGAAGGTTTTATGGGCAAGGTTAGTAAAACAGCAACAACAGTAATATGTATTTATCAAGTGTGTCCTGTGTGTCCGGATCTATATATATATAAATGCTGGTAATAACCCAGCAAGAGAGGTATGGTTATTGTGGTGGACAATGCTGGTGGTTTGCTGAGACCCCCTGGGGTCCCTTTTTTCCCATTTTTGTGCACCTCCAGCTTGACTGTGCTCTTGTTTCCAACAGCAAGCATCTGTAGCTACTTTTTCCTAAGATTTTTCTTGGGCTAGTGGAGTTTGCTTTGCAGAGCTGGAAGTGCCTCGGAATTTACATCTACCCTCCTTTCCCAGCACCCTTAACCAATGACTTGTGGATACAGAAATATGGAGGCCCAGCTCCTTTGGATAAGGCCAACTCCGAGGTGTAATTTATAGTGCAGAGGTTTCTAGCAGCATCAGGCCAAAGCTAACCTCTGTCTCCTGGACCTTTGCCTGAAAACTGTATACTGCTTAGCTTCCTCCGTTTTCCCCTCCTATATCCTCCACTCGATTTCCAATTTCCCCTGCGAGTACTTTCTTGGTAATACAAATTCTCATCTTAGGATCCACTTCTGGGAAACCTAACTTATGATGTTACCCCTGATTTGTACATCAGAAAGCTAAAGAATACAGTGAGATGAAGCCACTTTCCTGCCTAAGGTCACACAAGTAAATATCTGAGCTGGTATTTACAACCAGTCCTCTCTGACTTCAGAACTTTTGTTCCTTATATGACCCACAGAGCCCATTTCCAACGAGGAGAAGTTTGTGTGTGGAAAACTTGGAGAAAAGCTTATCCTCATTGCCACACTTCTGTTCCCTTTTAGGAGCTTCTTGCCCATGTGACCAAGAATTGGTCAAAGTCACAGGCACCTTTAGCAGCAACTCTTGGGAAGAATGTGATTGACTTGTCAGGATTCTCAGTAAGTGCATTTCATTTAGTTTTTGCTAAAAATGGACTCCAGTGGTCAATGGATTTACCACATTGAAACAACCCTGAATAACACCTTCCTTGTAGATGTATTTGCAGTTTCTTCTATGACAACATGGTTCCGGCAGTATCACAGTGAAGGGTCACTGCTTTGCGTTTATTTTCGTTGAAAGCTAGAGGTCAGGTGACCACTGCCATAATCGTGACACTGTTATCTGCCTGCGGAAGAACTAGTTGGGCCTGGAGGGAGATACATTTTGGGAGCCGTGATACAGCGAAAGCACTGGCCTAAGGTGCCTGAGAAGTTGTGGCTAAAATTGGAGAAGATAGAAGAGTGATCAAATAAATAAATAAATAAAAGTCAAGCGATGCTAGAGATAGACATTGTTTTGGGCTCAGAAAGACCTCAATGGAAATCCTGGCTCATAAACTTTAGACGTAGCTTCAGACAAATTACTTAACCCCTCTAAAGCTCACTTCTTAATCATCCGCATAATTGGAGTTCTGATTGCACCTAGGTTATAGAATTGCTGGCTTTATTTTGTTTTGCTTTTGAGAGAGAATCTCGCTGTTCTGTCACCCGGGCTGGAGTGCGGTGGTGTGATCTCGTCTCTCTGCAGCCTCCGCCTCCTGGGTTCAAGACATTTTCATGCCTTAGCCTCCCGAGTAGCTAAGATTACAGGCGTGCATGACCACACCCAGCTGATTTTTGTATTTTTAGTAGAGATAGGGTTTCGCCATGTTGGCCAGACTGGTCTCCAACTCTTGGCCTCAAATGATCTGCCCACCTTGGCCTCCCAAAGTGCTGGGATTACAAGCGTGAGCCACTGCACCTGGCCTGCTATGATTTCTGTAATGAAGTGATGGATACATAGGACTTGATATAAGTTTTGGCGCATAGTAGGCATTTACTGATAATGTTTGTCTTAGTGAATAGCTTAAGTACACATAATTTTTGCTTACATTAGGTAAGCGGGAAGATCAGGAGATTGTATAAACACGGTTAGCATGTCAATGTTTATCAGCATACACTGAATTCTAACAAACTGCCTACTCACTAATGTCTTGTTTTGTGCCTATAATCAGGGGGCAAAGAAGACAAGACCTGTATCATAAAAGCTACATTTTCTCATAGGAATTGTGCCTTTCATCACCTTTTTCTTTTTCTTTCTTTTCTTTTCTTTTTTTTTTTTTTTTTTTTTTTTTTTTTTTTTTTTTTTTTTTTTTTTGAGACAGAGTCTCACTCTGTTGCCCAGGCTGGATTGCAGTGGTGCAATCTCAGTTCACTGCAACCTTCATCTCCCAGGTTCAAGCGATTCCTCTGCCTCAACCTCCCCCGTAGCTGGGACTACAGGCATGCGTCACCACACCCAGCTAATTTTTGTATTTTTAGTAGAGACGGGGTTTCACCATATTGGCCAAGCTGTTCTCACACTCCAGACCGCTCGATCCGCCCACCTTAGCCCCCCAAAGTGCTGGGATTCCATGCATGAGCCACCACGCTTGGCCTCACAATCTTTTCAATGATGACAACACAAAATATGGAGCCCATGACTCTGAATTTTTGTATTTTGGTTGGGCTCTGCAACCTTTAGACTTACAGACAAATAGTTAACGTTTAGGCAAGAATTGCTTGGCCAGGTTAGGCTCTGATGGTTTCAGGTCCACTCAAATTCATTCTCTTCAATCGGCCTTATCTCCTAGGTGTTAAAACCAATGCTCTGAGTATGAGTTGTGCAGTTGGAATAAAGAACAGTGAAATCGCGTACCTCTCTCAAAACATTCAAGGCCTCTTTCTTCTACACTAACTTGCTGATGATTGCAAGTAAAGAGATAAAAATAAATGCACTCATGAATCTATCACTGGTTAATGATGTATAAATAATCCTTCTAGGTAGACAGATTGTCACTTCTGTGGCTGAATTTGGAGGGAGGACCTCCAAGACTCTTGGTTGGCTAGAAATTTAGGATAAAAATCACAATTTCTTGAGCCCTGTAGAATTTTTATGTAGGCTTTTGTTTGTTTTTGTCACTTGAGTTATCTGAAATTCAATCTTGTTCGGCTTTTAACTAAAAGATACCTCCCTGTAAACCCAAGTCTCTCAGTTACATGCATTTTTGAAAACTGAAACCCATAGAGGACACGTTACTGGTTCCAGTGCTTTGGCTAATGAGGGCGTGCCCCTGAGAGGAGCTGGCGGTTAATGGTGGTGTTTCTGGGCTAGGGCTGTGTCATCTTTTTTCCTGTCCAAGAGTGTAGAGTCATGCCAGCTATGAAGGACAATTATAACTTTAAGCAAAGACATTCCTGGGAGAGCCACCCCTCTAAAAATGGAAATAAGTGGGCAGGGCAAGAATCTCTAAAAGGCCTCTGATTTTCTTATCCCAGCCATGCTTAATCCAGCAGTTAAATGTCCTAGAAAAATTACACCTTCGTCTTTCTTTTCACTTATCAAGTGTCTGAGCATGTTCCTGATTGAGTACTTGCAGAATTTGAAAATGCTGAGTCGGCTGGGCTGCTAAGAATGGGAAAAGAAATAAAATAAACCTTGACAAAATTGACCCTGGCCCCTGCTGATGAAAAATATAGCCCAATATGGCCACAGCACAGGTTCGAAGGGTGGTTCTTCTGTGAACCAGCTGTCACTTACCAGACGTAAAAAAACCGTCAGTCCACAGCTGAATCTGGCCAACAGAGATCTCCAGTTTAGCTAGGAAGAGTGTGGAATTGTATTTTTTATTGCAGGAAGCCCTCTTTAGTTCACCACCAGTTCTTGTCTCCACTGTGTCCTCAACGTTCCCTTCCCACTTGATCTGTATCTGTCACCTGACTCTCCCTGGAGCCATGTAAGTCTATAACCACCTTCAGCCTCATTTTCCTCAACTGCCAAATGTGAACCAAGCCTGTTTCACAGGTTGTTGTGAGAGTCTACTGTGACAGCGTGGATGACACGGCCAGCATGGGCTAGTGCTGCATGAGCTCAGTGCACTTCTTTCTTTCTCTTTTCCTTTTCTCTTGCCCCATTTCTCATTCTTGTTTTCCTCTTCTTTGTGATGTTTGGATATTTATTTGATCTCGTTGCTAAACTTTAAGCAAGTTTTTTTTTTTTCAGGTCATGGAACCTCTGGGTTATTCTTGTTTGTCCTGAAGTGAAAGTTGTACTAAATATGTCCTCTGCTTCTCCACAATGTATGAATCGAAAGAGGCGTATCTAAAAGGCACAAAAGTGATTAAACACTGAGTTAGTCATGCCCTGAGTTAAGACGAGGTTTGACCCTGCTCCACATTAATCCAGAAGATGGTTGAAGATGACGACCTTGCATGCATTTTGCTTGGGGGATCTTACAGTTAGTGAAATTAAACTGCCTCGCTGTGATGGTTCCCCAACGGCATTGGGATAGGAGTTGGTTTCGTAGGTTTGGGGTGGGCAGGGGAAAGTTACAGTTTAGGGTGGTGTTTTGCAAGCTTTGAGGGGGTCGAAGGTTTGCAAGCTGGGTAGGGGTCGTAGGGTGTGGAGTCGTGAGGTTGACCATGTCGGTTACAAAGTCCAATAGCTTTATTAATTCGGGTGGGAATAAGGAGCAATAGAGAATGTCTTAAAGTTAATACTGAGGGTCAACTTGATTGGATTGGAGGATGTAAAATATTGATCCTGGGTGTGTCTGTGAGGGTGTTGCCAAAGGAGATTAACATTTGAATCAGTGGGGCTGGGAAAGGCAGACCCACCCTTTAATTTGAGTAGGCACTGTCTAATCAGCTGCCAGTGCAGCTAGAATACAAAGCAGGCAGAAAAATTCAGACCAAAAAAAAAGGACTGGCCTAGTTCCCTAGCCTACATCTTTGTCCCTTGTTGGATGCTTCCTGCCCTTGAACATTGGACTTCAAGTTCTTCAGTTCTGGGACTCCGACTGGCTCTCCTTGCACCTCAGCTTATAGACCGCCTATTGTGGGACCTTGTGATCATGTGAGTTTATACTTAATAAGCTGCTCTCTCTCTCTACATATATATACATATATACATATATATACATGTATATACATATATACATATATATACATGTATATACATATATACATATATATACATGTATATACATACATATATATACAGGTATATACATATATACATATATACATGTATATACATACATATATACATATATATACATGTATATACATACATATATACATATATATACATATATACATGTATATATACATGTATATATATGTATATATATGGAGAGAGAGAGAGAGATAATATAAAGGAGAGATATATATCTCTCCTATTCATTCTGTCCCTTTGGAGAACCCTGACTAATGCACTCACCATGAAGACAGAAAATATAATTCCAGTGTATTGAGACCCACCTAAATAAGTGGGTCTCATTTTTTCTTTTACAGTTGAGGAAGAGGAGCGTATTAGGTTAAGGGTCTTGTTCAAAGCCCTGGGATATTTAGTGGCAGGGACCTTTGTGCTAAGTGCCCAGCTTTTACTCTTCATTGTGAAACTTTATTGACCATCTAAGCGTCTAGAATGTTTTCAGTTTCTGCCTTTTGAATGACAACAGTTGAGCTGGAGATTATTAGAGGCAAAGATTACATAAGCAATGAAGACATCATTGAGTAGCAGTGCTGACCTTGGCATTGTAAAAAAAGGCAAGAAGGCACAGCTGTAGTATTCACATGCCCTAGAAGGAGGGAAGGAGAACCTTCTTTGAGATCTGGGTATAAGACCTGATTTGGATACCTACTTGCTGTGAACTTGGAAATGCTATTTAAGTTTGTTAATTATTACTTCTCTCATCTGCATGGTAAAGAGAATTATTTCTGAGCTTCCACTGTTAAAACACGTGTTCTGAATGAAGAAACCCCCAAACAGGCTTTGTGTGAGCAACATGGCTGTTTATTCACCTGACTGCAGGCGGGCTGAGGCAGAAAAGGATGTCAGCCAACGGCAGTGGGATAGGAGTTGGTTTCGTAGGTTTGGGGTGGGCAGGGGAAAGTTATAGTTTAGGGTGGTGTTTTGCAAGCTGGGAGGGGGTTGAAGGTTTGCAAGCTGGGAGGGGGTCGTAGGGTGTGGAGTCGTGAGGTTGACCATGTCGGTTACAAAGTCCAATAGCTTTATTAATTGGGGCGGGAATAAGGAGCAATAGAGAATGTCTTAAAGTCAAGTAGGCGCTGCAGGGGTTGATCATTTCTTCCTCTTTTCATGGTCTTCCAGTTACTTTAGATTTTCTAGGAACTCATCTGGAGTGTCCCTGCAGGTCACAGAGGTTAACATGGTGTACATAGGGCCATCAGTCAGTCTAGAAGACCTTACACCCACTTCGAAAGTTTATTTTGAATTTCCAAATATAGATGATTTAGTCCAACAAAAGTGTTTAATATGCACCTTCTATGTGCAGGGTATATTATGCCTGGCACCAGAGATTCAAAGGTGAATACAGCAAGAGCATGCTACATGTGCTAAATGATGAACTATCAAGTTTGCACAAAAGAATACATCATTATTATTATAACCCAAAGGGCTGTTCCCTTCTCCCTGGAAATAGTGGCTGGAAAGACATCTGTTATCTCCTCCATCACCTATGCAGCTCAGAGCTCTAGGATTTATTTCTCTCACTAGTTACAGCAGCACATAGTCCATTATACAAGGATGATTATTTAAAACAGTGCTTCTGAAATGGTTTATTCATATGTATACATATATGAGTTTCAGGGGCTGACTTACATCTTGTTCTTGAGAAAGAATCATGACCCATGAGGAAAAGTATAACACAGAATATTGTGAAGCCAGGGCTGAATTTCCGAAGCTGCTTTATCCCCAGCTTTCTTTAAGGTCCTGGAGTACTCATTTCATTTTTCTGAGTTTGAATTTCCTGTACTCATGGAAGAAGAATCTTGCCCTGACCACTCCAGATGTTTCCCATGGAGTAAAGATGGCGATGGGTATAGATGTGTTTTTAAAAATTTGTCAGTGACAAAAAGGTAAAGGTTAGCAGCAGGACTGACACCTAATTTTGGCCTTTACTTAGGACACCTGGGAAAGAAAGAAATGAACCAGGAAAATTCCCTTGCAAACTCACGAGTAAGCAGATTTCCTGGAAACCACAAATGGTGTTTACTAGCGGAAAGATGAAGAACAGTCCTCAACTATTAACTACTTTTAGCAGAATATACCCAGTCTGTGTCAGTGGTTTATTGTAAATAAACCTGAAATCTATGACTGTATTGGACACAGCTCACTGGAAAATGTCACATGGCTATGTAATTTGTTTGCTAATTGCTGTGTCTTACTATTGCTCATCAAGTTTGAATCAAAAGTAAACTTGGTCCTAGGTATGACCAGCGATTCATGTTGAATCTCATTTGCATTGTCTTTGTATTGTATCAGGTGCCATCCTAGGTAACGCGGAAAAAGGCGTAGGTAGAAAAAGGAGATGCTCCATAGCTGAATTGGCTTCTCTGTTCAAGCAAAGTACAATATACAGTTCTTTTTTTTTTTTTTTTTTTGAGACGGAGTTTCTCTCTCGTTACCCAGGCTGGAGTGCAATGGCGCGACCTCGGCTCACCGCAACCTCCGCCTCCCAGGTTCAAGCAATTCTCCTGTCTCAGCCTCCCAAGTAGCTGGGACTACAGGCACGCACCACCATGCCCGGCTAACTTTTTTTGTATTTTTAGTAGAGACGAGGTTTCACCATGCTGACTAGGATGGTCTCAATCTCCTGACCTCGTGATCCACCCGCCTGGGCTTCCCAAAGTGCTGGGATTATAGGCGTGAGCCACCGCGCCCGGCCAATATGCAGTTCTTAAATGTCACGTGGGAAACCTGAACCAGAACAATCTTGGTGCAGGAGAAAACAAACATTTGGAGGCAGTGTTGATTGTCTTGACCTTTCTGATGGAACACTGCGTGGCAGTGTCTTGCTATTTCTGGTAAACCTTGAATCAGAAGTAAATTTGTTACTCAGCAACACCAATGGCCCAAGATGTGTCTCATTTGCATTATCTTTGTGCTTTCTCAGGTGTCCCTCACAGAGAAGGCATTGTTCGTACATCATTTTCGAACATCACCGAGGGAGTTTCTGTAAAACCCAATCCAATCTTTAAGGTAAAGATTTTATGTATGTGTGAGATATAAGCACATGAGACTTACACAAAATGGCTTCTTTGGGCACAGGCCTAGGATGCTGGGGGACTTTGCTGACTCTGTGGTAATCAAAGAAGCATCAGGTTAGAAACAGCTCTGGGGGCAGTGGGGAGGAAGAATTGGTCACATGGTCCACCCAATGGGTGTGGTCACCAATGTCTGCAGGCTGTCTTTAACACTGTAGCCATATTCCACCTGATCATTCTTTATTGTTGGATCTCCCCTCCCCGGTAGTCCCCCCCTGTCCCCAAAACAGTCTCCTCTGATGCCTATTAGAACAGTAGCATCCCCTTTATTCCCTCCCTTCCCATCATTGATCTTGACTTACCTGCAGCAGGAATGAGGAAAGCCTGGACTCCCCTCCCAAGTGCTCTGACCCTCGGCTCCCTTTTTTCACAGCTTGCCCATTGCCATTTGGAAAGGCAAGGGATAAAGGCAAAGTTAGACGCAACAAGTAGTTATTTTCCTTAGTCTAGGTAAAGATGTTCTTTGGGGTAATTAACCCAAAAAGTCAAGAAAGAAAGATTTTATTTTCCTGGAACATGCCAAGTCTCAGTTTTGCAAACCCCAGACAGAAAAAGAACTGGAGAGAACAGTGGTTCTCTTCCTTAGCTCTCTACCTTGACTGTAGAATTTTCAATGGTGCTTCGAAAAAAAATTTACTATTCCTGGGCCCCATTCCAGACTAGTCAAATTAGAATTTCTGAGTGAGGCCCAGGCATGGGATTTTTAAATTGTTTTCCAAGTGATTCTAATGACTAGCTATAGTTGCAGACCACTGGGGTAGCAATTTTGTGGTCATTTGCTATTGTCCTTATGAGCAAAGTCAGGCAGTAAGTGCATTTCAGGGCATAAAATGGCTCAGGTCTAAAATGTTTTCTATTGTAAGATCAGCTATGTAAAATGAAAATCTAGTGCCAACCAGGGCATTAAGTCAGCCCATGTATAAAATAATTTCTTCTGAAGTTTTTGGCTCTAACAAGTCCTGAGATGGTATTTTCTAGTGAGAATGGGCTTAATGACCTGAGTACATCTATAAGCCAGAGAAATAACCTGATTGACTTCTCCCTTTTCAAGTTTATCAACTTGAAGAGGATATTAACATTTTTTCCATTTTAACAATGTGACTTACAAGTGGAACATTATGGAAAAGTGTGAGATCCATATTATTTCAGGGACATGAGTGTGCACACCTCCTTCCCACTCATGGAGGAGCTGAC